AAAGCACATGAGGGAACACTCTTTTGGCTCCACACGGACGGAAATACTTATTAAAGCAATACTTTGCAGAACCCATTTTCCTAAATTATGTTACATTTAAAAGATTTCCATTTTGGAAACCTTCCCATTGTATTATGAGGGTGAGTGTGAACAGATCCTTGAGCTGACTGTCTGTCAGTCATTGTAATGGGGATAGCTAGCTAGCTACCTGGAAAGATGCAATGAGCATGAGAGGAAGGGAGTAGGGCCAAGGATAACACACCTCCAGGCAGAGGAAGAGGGAAAGGGGAGGGAAGTTAGGTTCATACGACAGTCCATTAACTTTAAGTTTAGATTGTGGTTTTAAACTTCAAAATTATCTTGTAGTTAGGGACCGTGCGGATGGATGCACCCATTACAAAATTTCAAGTTTACTCTAAGTTACAAACCATGCACCAGCGATCTCAGGGTTATTGCGATGACTACAAGCAATGGAGGTCCTAACTCAATGTTATGTGATGTGCAGACGCAATTAACTTTTAGATTACGCCAGCCTGTAGTTAAAATGAATGCTCCCCCCCCCCCCCCCCCCCCCGGTTTGTGTTTTAAAGCGTATCTGCCATAGTTTATAGGAGGGATTAGACTGCCCTGCAAGGTCCCTGGACAGGTGGTTATCTCATCAACTCAGCTCTCAGTTAACATAAGAAAAAGAGGATCATGGGGACCAATGGTCACCGATTAGGCATGGTTTGTTATATAGAGGGCGCAAGTAGCTACAAGTAGTGCAGTGGGCCTTTAAAACTTTGAATACTTGTTGTTTCAGTCGTGTGTGAAATGTCTATCAATGCTAACCCCAACAAAAATGGTAATATCAACGTCTTTAATTTCCTCTCCAGCGATTTCCAGTTGAACCCTTGTTGTTGTTAGTGAATCTTTGTCTATAAATTTAAGATACTGCCAATTTAAAGTTTAAAAATATGACCATACTGTGTGAACATTGCTGGAGAAACGATGGGATCCGAGACGGTTGTACCCCTCATCTCCTACCAGGCCAGGCATCCAATGCATCCTGCATGTTTGTGTATTGTCACTCTGCAGCGTGCCAGAACTGGGCGATTTTAACCTTTCAATAATGACCCAATTTTCCTTTACTTCAACACTACCATACTTCCCCCTGCCCCCTCATTTTTTTTTTTTTTTTTTTACTCTTTAGAGACTGAGCCAAAGAGTATTAAGTTACTGACTTACCAGAATCCAACGTTGTATAGAAACGGTTCATCCTCAACTAAATTTCTCATTCTTTACCATTTTTGATAGCAATTTCTCATTATTATATACTTTTGAAGGAGGGGAAAATGATTTTCTTTCTAAACCCAATGTTTTCAAGGTGCAATATTGAAATAAGAGCAAGAGAGAAAGAGAGAGAGAAAGAGAGGAGGGGAGAAGGGAGAGGAGGGGCAGGAGGAAAGGGGCAGGAGGCAGAGAGAGAGAGGGGGGGGGGGAGTAGGGAGGGAGAGAAAGACAGAAAAAAGTATGTGAGACATATAATTTGGGTGTAGAAGAAAGTGGGTTCAATCACTTACATGAAAAGTGCATATTGATGATGAAGAGGTAGGAGGGAGAGAGAGAAGAAAAAGGGAAGAAAAGCGCAAAAAAATAATGATATTTTAGGATTTCTGAAAAAAAACACCAAAACATGAAATCTAGAGAGGTTGGACAAACAAATTTAATAAATCTGGGGGAGAGAGAGAGAGAGAGAGAGAGAGATAGGTGGGTAGGAACTCTGTATGGACACAATATCATTGGACATTGTCCAAAGAGGGCAGCATGACGCATTCAGTTCAATTGAGTTGTTTATACCTGTATCTTATTGAGATAACTAATTCCCACCCTCACCCCCTCCTTCCAGTACTTGTAATATGTGTAAATTATATATATATATTGAACTTTCATGTGCCGACATGTTTCCATAGAAAATTATTTCAAACATACTCTTAAACTCACCAAAAATTGTTACACAGAAGAAATGATGTAGAAAAAAATTAAATCTCCTCGCAACCATAAATCAATACCGGTAATCAATTTTCAGGTGTACCATTTAAGAATCACAAATATATTTATTATTGCTGTTATTTTCTGTTATATGTAATGATTTTTGTTTTATTTGATATGTTTTGAGGTTTCATTTGGCCTTGAAGATGAAAATACCTCGACTAAAGATTTGTGGTTTTGACAGAAAATCCATTATCATCCAGACATCAGCTATGCAATATGGATTTTTCAATTTTTTTAAAATTCTGACTTCAATAATGAATATGGTTTCCTTCTGACGTTGGTGTCTGGTACTGTGATTCAATTGATACAATAACCTTTTTTTTGTGGTTATAAATAGTTGTCTCCCACATTTCTTGGTGTTTGCCAACGTATTAAATGATTTCATTTAGTGAACTTTAGATTTCTTATTGTGTATGTCAGGTTTTGGCAACAGTTACTGATTTAAAGAAGAACTAGAGAAAAAATTGAGAGGAGGTTTCTTTTTTGGAACAACTTTAAGGTGGGAGGAAATGAGAAAAGAAATGAAAGGAAAAGAAAAATGTTTATCTTTATTACTCTTCACCATTTTTCAAGCCCTCACTCTCATCTAGATAGAATGAGAGAAAATAGGGAAGGAAAGAAGGAGTGTGTATGGGGGGGGGGGGGGGAGAGAGAGAGAGAGAGAGAGAGAGAGAGAGAGAGAGAGAGAGCGTTTACCCGTTGCCAACTGTAGCGCACTTGGTTTTGCAGATATGACAAATATGAAGAGTGCCACCTCTTGTTGAGATGTAGTTAGGATTGATAAGCATTTTCAGAAACACTAACCTTTCTTCCTTTTCCTGTGTTATGGTGTTGATTAATTATGATACTCTACATGCCATCTCCGTGAATGTAATCCCCACGGTAATCCTGATCATCATCATCATCATCATCATCATCATCATCATCATCATCATCATTATCTTTGTCTCCATCATCTCTTATTGTCTGCTGAAAGCAAAAATGGTACTAAATTTCTACTTAACTATACCTCTATACTTGTCAAAAGAGTTAATTCCTTACCTCAACCACTAATGTAACCATGAATCATCAGTATGTCTCTGTTTTCATATTATATTTTGTATCATCACTATGGTTACTTAAGTTCTCATAATCATCTAGTCATGTTACTAAAACTTTGGAACGAACTCATCACCACCATCATATGACCACCATCATATGACCACCATCATTATTATATTATCTTCATCACTGTCACTGCCACCATAATCATCACTGTCACCATAATCATCACTGTCATTACCATTATCGTTATCATGATCAATATTCAACTCAGCTTTTTCACCATCGTCTCCTTTACAACCACGGTGTTATGTCATCCTCATTACTACCACTTCCATTATCATCATCATCATCATCATCATCATCATCACCACCATCATTACCACTTTCATTGCCATCATAATCACCATCATTATTGTTATTCTATTATCACAATTATCCCTCTTATACAGTATTCATAGAACTTAAAATAATGAAATTTAATAATGCAGTTTTGTATTAAAGGAACATCATTTTTATTTTTCTAAACATCTAAGTACTCAAGAACATGAATGGCTTCATAATATTTGACATAAAACATTTCTCATATTTAGGGAATAAATATTTGAATACTTTTATTCACTAAAAGATAATCATACATGTATACAAAAAGAAGTAAATCTCCCTGCCCCAAACTATATGTACATGATAAAACAAAATACTTTTACAGGAATGTGCATTACATATGGAAGGAATAGAAGATGAAATTTTAAGACAAAATGACAGAATGTTTCAAAATTGTTGGTTATAATTTAATCGACTTGAACTTCTAAAGAAAAGTAAGGAACTCTTCAAGAATGTGTTAGCTTTTTACGACTTGGCTTAGCTTGTACTAGCATCCATACCCTCAAAAGTGCAATCTTAAAATTTTCTACATATAGACCCCTTTTTAGAAAAGGACCTTGTTTATAATTTGTTATTATTTAGGATCTTGAATTCAGTGGATGTAATGCAAGTCTTTTTGTTCTTTCATTACCAACATTAATAATACTATAGATTTTCATAATTGTAATATTCAGTCAATTTCTTTACGTCATGCATAATCTTACCATAACTTTAATGATTTTATTCAAAAGACATACAAAGGCTTGATACATGTTCAAATACTATTGCACTCTCACATTTACCAAAAAGGTACATTTGAAACTTAGCTTCACAAGAAAAAGATATCGTCATAATACTCTCATTATACAAAGATAGGTAAACTACAATATTCACAAAATAGTACTGTAACTATCAACATCATAGTGTGACAAGTTCATGTGACAAATAGTTTAGAAAATAAAGATAATACATAAGGCCATAGCAATAGTAGATTCACTCAGGACAGGAAGACAAAAATGGAAGAACAACAAGAAATATATATTTCTCTTAGCAAAGTAATAAGGAAGACATATAGCCCCGTGATTGTAGCTTAATCCACAGTCAATGGGTCCCATCAAACCTTGAAAGCAGTTTTGGATGAATAAGTTTTATTTCTAACTTTTTGTGAAGAATTTCATTAAAGCTCTGTCATAGGCAAATAAAGAAATGAGTTTGAATTTGTAGAAAAGTAGGATAATTTTCTGTTGAATATCACCCATATTATGCTTCCCATTTATTCTGAATTCAACAACCTCCTTGTCCTCTCCATAACCCTCATGCTAGGTCAGTCATGCATTACATGAAGCCAAAAACTCCTCAAACAAGTTTTCTCATTAATCGCTCATAGCTGCATTGGTGTCAGTGAATGTAAGGTCCAATTAAAATGAAAAAGAGACTAAATTGCCATCTGTCAACCTCCCGACCTTGGACATTACACTCAAGCAATCACTTCTATCAGGATGATCAGTGATGATATCAAGACTGTAACCCTCCATTCAGGTAACAAAGAGTTATATATAGTTTTTCATAGTTCAGACATCATATAATACAACATTGTATGATAAAAACATTGTATAGCGAAACAGACATTCGAGCATTATGTCAAGAAAAATCAGGGTCTCTTTCTAATCGCAACAATACATGGAGTGAAAACCATATAACTAGCTGAGGGTTATCATGAGTGTGAACCAATGATTGGCCAAGTGTCATCTGAGCTGACTCTAAAATACAATCTTTTCAAATCTAGATTCTTTATACAACAATTCTTTGTATGATACTCTTATCATGTGTGAGTGTCCCTTTCGCTATACAATGTTTCTTTATATATTTCTTCATACAAATTTGGTATAACTTTCCTGTCGTGTGAACGGTCTCTAAGAATAAAGTTTCAAAGGGATGAATGGGTTTATCTGGTGATGACGAGATGCTCAGCAAAGCCTTAGGTACTTGCTATTTTTCCAGGAGCAGCGTCCCTTGTTGTTACGGATGCATGCAGAGTTCCTTCTGACGCAAGGCGATGCGTAAGACCCCATGCACCCCTCCGTGGGCAGGCAGTCATTGTCGTACTTTGCAGAACAAATCTGTGGAGTCAGAGAGAGAGAGAGAGAGAATGAAGAAGAGATAGTGATATTATAGTTTTGTTATCATCATTATTAAACATGAATTAATATTTTTAAAATATTTGTTATTAATACTTATGCAGCACTTGTGGGTAGCACTTGTGGAAATTACTCTAAAGTCTAGTTTGCACATAATTGATGTAGAAGTAGTATATTAGTTTCTGGTAGAAGTATTGAAACTGGCTGTGGGCATAGTGTTGAAACTTACCAAACAGTCTGAGATGAAAACAGAGTTATTTATGTCTTTAGAAATTTTTCCATTTTCCTGAATTTTAAGATCGCAAAAAAGCAAAAATGATGGCTAGGAAAGTACTCCAGACTGCTCAAAATGTAACTCGTACAACATTAAACTACGCTTCCTAATGAAGTCTTATATGGATAATATATAAGCTTAAGAATTCACCTGTTCATAAAGACAACCTGTTCAAAACTGTTAGTGTTTTATTTTTGTTTTTGTGGGGGTGGGGGTATCATAGAGACAGCCTTTTATTTCTGTAAAGCTTGTGTATCGATGATCATTAAGATATACCCCAATAACACCTGCAAGACCGACAAAGATCAAACAATTAATTACATGAGCTCAAATAACCAATACAAGTTATCAATTGTTTCAGTGTTCGTTTCATGGTTTGACTGAATTATTAAGGTTATAATGTTTCAATGTCTTACCCGACAGTCATCACATGACTTTGCGTAGAGACGCTTGAGTCCTCTCTTCTGGAATACTGAGAGTGAGTTGACTGGTTGGACCCAACTGCTGCAGAGACCAACATTAAGCTCTCCATCCCATACAAAACCTAGAACATTAAAAAAAAAGAGATGATAATTAGTATTTGCTCTGACAAAATGGTCAAAATAATAACAGGAACAATCATATAGCTCTTACTGCACCCTGTATACTTTCAATTAGCTTGAGTTATCATGATTTAGTGGATAAGTCACTGGGCTGTGGATCATATGGTATAAAGTTTAAATCCTTGCTATATCACAAACATGCTTTGGCAAGACGTTAATCTAAAATTGCTACTTCCCATCCGGGTAAAGTAATAGTTACCCTAGAAGGAAGAATTTTGTGGAATACTTTAGCATATTATTGAAGCTGAGCTGAAGCTAGGGTAATAATAGTATTCAGCGCTGTTTGTCCTCAGGAAAATGCGCTTTATCAGTCCAAATGTAATTCTATACTCATTATTTACTAGCTTGTGTAAATATATTGTTTATTTTTTATGATGCATGTTTACAGATCACCAACATTTTAAAATACTTTTATAAAGCTTTATTTTTTCCAATTGATTCAGTTTTTGATAGTAGTTATCATCAAATTGAATTCCCTTCAGAATCAGACTTGAGACTCTTGCCAATAAAGGGAAAATGCCACTGTTTTATCTCATTTCAATTTATATGTTCATTCCAACTGTTACATTATTCAGACATGGCAATCTCATACCATTACATTATTAACTACAATGTCCCCTTGCCCATTTAGAATACAGTCTTTCTAAATTGCCTTCATCATATTCTCATGATGCTTGGGGTGTATGGAGATCAAAATGGATATTAATAAGCAATTCTGACAACTCTTAATATTGATGTGCTACGCTCCACTGTCTGCCGAGGTGCTCGATGGAAAACAACCTCATGATGAAGTGGCTGCATGCAGCGCAAAAGAGAGAGAAAATAATAATCCTCAAAATATCTCAACTCCCGGCTGCAATTGACTTATTACTAGCTCCACTGGGTTTGGGTGAAAATAGAAGTTAATTTCACTTCTTAGCCTGCTGAGTGAATGACCATGACTGGTAAATAAGTTCACTCTTTCTTAAAGGTTCAGTTTATTGTCCACCAGGAAAATTGGTAATGTTTTGATATTTTGTTTGATTGCTGAACGAGTGTATAAAAGTGAATCATTAAATTGTCTGTTTGGAGCCAGATGGTGTTAGATTTTTAAGTTGAAAGATTCTCCAAACATGAAATTGAAATAACTAATAACTTTCTTATTCCAACCTTAATTGCTTTGGCAAGGGTAAAACTTGGGAGGGATAAGAAGGGACTTTACTACTGGGGTTGAATTTTTATAAATCATGTCTGTCTGGCAACTTTATCTTGTTAATGGTTTACCAGTCTGTAATTCGACCCATTTAAGTATTGATCTTGTGAAATCAATGTTATACTAACACTTCCAATATCAGGGAAGTTCTTCATCAAAGTTAACCTTTAGTGTGCATTTATTATTGTGCAATCCAGTTGACTAGTAGGCATTATTAACTGTCTCTTGTGAGATAGAAATGTTCTAATTCTGTTTCTTATTATCCATCTTGACATTTCAGATTCCCTGATTTAATCTTTTACATTTCAGGAAGACTGGCTTTGCGCATCTAATTTGATTGAATCCACTTTTAATCATCTCGATTAAAATTGTATTTTTGTTTGTTGCGGTAGAATCCATGCAGCACTCATAATTGAGGTATAGAACCACAAACTACATCATCCCTTTTCCCCATTGTCTGATTTGCTCTTTGGAAAATGCATGAGATGTTTAATGGTCCCCAAGAGTCCAACATATCCCATGAATTTTTAAAATATCTTTCCATGTTTCGATGTTCTCGAGTTACCCGCATCTTCTTCATTTGTATTCAACAAATAACTTGCAATTTGAGGCACCCCAATATATCATGCATCACGTTGAATTGAATGAAAAATAACTACCCTGCATCGTCTCAGCTCGTAAGAAGTTGACCTCCCTCGTTTCATAATGGTAGCGACCGCGCCCAAGGTACCATGACCGAGACGTCTAACAAAATCTGATTTACGCAGTGTTGATTTCTTCTTTTTTTAATTACGATATCAGCCGAGCATTTCTAATTGGTTAGGTGTTGATCACATGAATGGATCAACTTGAAATGTCATATCTCTGTGGGCTGGTGGGAGTAGGGGGTAGACAGTGAGGGGGTAGACAGTGAGGGGGTGTTACAGGCTCCCGACAGGGGGAATCATGGGATGGTAGGGTCGCTAAGGTTTTGTATCGAACAGAAATAGACTAGTTGTTTCCTTTGCGTAAAAGGTGAAGGAACATTGCGGTTGATGTATTGTTGAGTAATCTGATCCCACTCCATCAAATTTTTGAAGGGAATCACACCCTAGTCCCTTCACTACCACAAATTGCAGTTTGATATGATATAACATTTTTAATGTCAAGTTTTATTTGTTTTTAGCATTTTTATTCATTTTCAGCATTTTTATTTCTTATTTTAAATAATGGGTCTTAATTATGAAGCCACATCCGTTGCCCTATTATCATAGATATAGCCTTCACCTTAGAGAGTATCATCAGCATGATATTAAAGCTAAAAACATGGGAGCTGCTGCCAGGAATGAGGTTCAAAATTTGTGTTGCCTTAAAAAGGCATGGTCATGGAGAGTTCAATTGTTTGGGAGTGTAAAGGCACATTCAAGAACAGGAGAAGATATGTTTTGATTTTCTCATATTTCCATCTTCTCCCTCCCACCCCTCATTACATTTCAACCCTTTAACATGAAATGCATATATATTGTTAGCTCTCACCACTCAAAATGTAGGCCTCTCCATCCTGGAGATCGGCTACTCCGCACATTGCTCCGTTTGCTGCGCTAGACACGGATACGGTCGTCATGCCGACCAACTCCTCCTCCCCCTTGAAGACCTCCTTGATAGTCACGTTGTAGACGACGAAGAGAGGGTACCGAGGGAGAACCAGTGGAGGAAGGAGATCCGCGTAGCTGTAGTCCATTGAAGAGCCATAGACATCGTTGTTGGAGACCGCGTTGTCGCCATAGATGAACGATGTGCTCTTGATCGTTCCCTCGATAACTAAAATGAAGAATTTAAAAGAATTGTGGAAAATAGTTTGAGATGCTAGGTTTTCATACACTACCCACTGGGCAGAGGTATATCCAACTACAACCCATTCTAGCAGAGATTATGAAAGATTTGTTTTTGTTTTGGGGGAAATTTGCTTTGGTCTTAATTATGTTGAAGATTCAGGGTTAGGGTTGGGTTGTGATTAGGTTTTAGGGTGTGGTTAGGGTGTGGTTAGGGTTGGTGAATTGGTTCTGGGTGAAAGTTAGAAATTTGAGTAGAGTTAGAAGTTCACATCATTGTAGCTAGAGCATATCATTACATGAGAGTCTGAAAGATGTTAACCCACTAACAACTCAATACTCATATTCCCCATAGGTTTAATACAGAGAATGAGTTAACTTCCTTCTGGCACTGACATACTGGTAAATGTGTTATTGATACACCAAGGACCTTGTAACAGTTGGAGATAGTCCAATTAAGATGAATCATGTATGTATTAACAAATATGTAGGCTCTTAAAATTTGGCTCATAACCGCACTACATGTACATTCAACACAAAACATATGTTCTCACATTTTTTGTTAAAAAAAATACATACATACCAAGATGGAGGAAATTGGTGTGCATGCATTTTGATGAAAAATATTGTAAGTGGGAAAGCTTTTTTGGCATAGATTTGACAGCCTGTTCCTTCACGAGCCAACCTTGGTAACAGACTTTTCATAATATTAAACAAGAAAGAACATTGATTTAACCTATATCCATTGCCAAGAAGTAACTCTCTAGAGATCCAAACTTTGCAGCAAAAGTTTCAAACTTAGGAAGATGGCTCATTTGTGGTAACCAAATGGTGATGATGTTCATGCCAGCATAGCACTCTAGGTGATATCCCTTGCATGAATCATAGCAGAGTGGTCTCAATATGGCTTTACCTCTACATAAATTTATACATATTTTGGACCCTTAAAAAACTACTACTACATCTACCTCAGCTACTACTGCTACTACTACTTCTACTTCTACTCCATCTTCTACTGCATCTTCTTCGAGGACGACGACAACGACAACAAGGACTACTGCTACTACTACTACTACTACTACTACTTCTACTTCTACTACTTCTACTACTACTACTACTTCTACTACTACTACTACTACTACTACTACTACTACTACTACTACTACTACTACTGCAACTGCTACTGCTACTCCTCCTGCTACTCCTACTACTATACTACTACTACTACTACCACTACTTCTATACTACTACTACTACTACTACTACTACTACTACTACTACTACTACTACTACTACTACTACAATTACTACTACTATGATTCCTCCTACCCCTACTACTATTACTAGTATTACGACTTCTACTACTTCTCCTGCTGCTGCTAATATTGCTATTCCTCCTTATGAATTTGGATATACTTTGCAGCTGTGCAACCCCCCCCCCCCTCCATATCTATTTTGTATAAAGAAATCTAAGCTTCAGCATTGACAATAGTTTTAATGTCCACAGGCAGTTTTCAGATTATATTTAACTTTGAGGCTTAATGATTGTAACATTGGAATTGTCAGAGGTTCAACTTACCAGCATCAGCTCTGCAGAATAGTGTTTGATAGTGAGCAGGCATACAGGAACAGGCATCCGTCATCTTGGTGACAATCAGCACCAGTACACAGAGCAGGAGTGATGACGATGATGCTTGTCTTAGCTGCATGGTTGCTATGGAGACTGATAAACTCCTCAGAAGAAAATGAAGAATAAGAAAGATGGGGCCCTGTAGTACTGCCGATAACTGAATACCACAAGTTAAGTGTCTGCTTGTAGAACTTGAGTCTGCTAATGACAAATGTTTATCTCCTGTTATACTAGACACTTCTTGATGATAGAATTGTCTTCTTTTCGGTTCATCAACCTTTTGTGTGGTGAAGCGTTCTCAAGTTTTTTCTTGGTAGACAGATGGTGTTTGAGCAAATGTACAATTCTCGTATCCAGAACTAATGCACACTCAAGAACAGCTTGCCTAAAACCAATCTATCTAGGTGCTGTGATAAGGTGATACAAACTTTCTCAAGTTACAATGATTCTTCATGTTGGTGTGTGGTGGTATATATACCCTAACTCCCCTACCGACTCTCAACCTATCGCCTCTCATTTACCTTCCTCTCACTCACTTTGCACAAGGTACCTAACCTACCACATGCACCCCTCTCTCTCTCTCTCTCTCTCTCTCTCACTCTCTCTCTCCCTCGCCTGTTCTCTCTTCCGCTATGTGTTATCGGTAAACAGCCCAAGCAAGCTTCCTGATTGGCTACTTTCCCAGTGAGGAAGTTGTGACATCACAGGTGCTTGCTGATAATCAGGTTATGACATCAGAGAATGTAAATTCCACTCGATGGGAAATGCCCCAAACGGCTTCTCACTACTCAAAGTAGTAGTAGTTTACAACTTCATACCCATCGTTTGTTTTAGCTTCCTAAATCCTGAGCCTCTGAAAAGAAATACTTTACTATTAGATTTCAGTATATCTAAAAGTTTTATAAAACGATTTATGTATCTCTTTTCAAGCCATGCAAACAGTAACAGTTACATAAACTTTTAAAATAGAGAAAAACATTAAAGTCAAGAAAACCTACTGTGATGTAGCTCTGCATGGCTTTGTGGAATAGGCAATGGGATGTAATGTCTCCCATTCCAAAAGATCACTTTTACATGAATGTCAGTTTGTATTTGTTCTTTAGATGGTCTGTCTGGACTGGTTTTTTTTTTTTTTTTTTTTTTTACTTTAGTATAGATTCTTCACAAGTTATTTCTCTCTCATTATTTTTGCTGATTACCAATTTTTTTCCAGGCATGAGATGATCAGAGTCTTGGGTCAAAGACTACTGCTTCTTCTCTATTCTGATGTAATGACGTATCACAACATTCTCTTCATCATTTCCTTTGCACATGTAAAATATTTGATCTGTCTGGTATGTCACTTGCTAAGAGTATATTATTCCCCCCCCCCCCCACCCTTTTTTTTGTTGGATGTTTTGAGTGGGAAATGCTGGTTGATTATAATTCAATTTTCCGGGAAATTCTAAAAAAAAATCACATGGGCCCAATCTATCGTTATTCTTTTCATGAAATTCTGATTGAGACAAATAAGACTTTTAAAAATGTGTTTGTTTGTTGTTGTTCTGGTTTTTCGTTTGTCCTTTTCTTCTTTGAATTGAGTATGGTACGTAGGGATTATTATAGTCAGTGCACAGAAAATGAATAGTATATTTTCATTATCTCTCTCTCTCTCTCTCTCTCTCTCTCTCTCTCTCTCTCTCCCTCTCTCCCCTCTCCACCTCCTTCGCTCTGTACATTTTCATTCACTACCCTCTCTGAGTTTGTATTGAATTCCTCTTTCTCATTAAAATATTGTGTCTTTTTCCTAAACAGAATTTTATAATCTTTAATCAATGTACAATGGAATGGACTGTTCTGTGATCATATCAAGCTCAAATATTATTGTTCAGGGATCATTTTAGTATGTTGTAATTCATGTGAAAAAAGGTTCATAAGTTCCTGGCACACCTATGCTTAGAGTCAAGAGAGCATTAATTCATATGTCCTCCCACCTTTCTGTTTCAACACAGGGTCAACAGCCCTCTGGATTGTACCAGACAAGATATATTTCTGTTGTTACAAGTAAGGTTATATCGTCTGTTTGGAGCTAGAAGGATGTTACTACTCATATACTTTAACAAAGAGTTAACATCCTTCTGGCTCTGAACAGACAGTTTAGGCGTATAGGGATTTTCATATTTTTCTCTCCAACATCCACCTAGAGAGTGTTGGCCAGCAGGAGAACAGTTCAATGCAGGTGAAACCAATATGACTTCCTCATAAAGCTTGCGGTTTTCCTATTGATCAAAGCAGGTGGCTGCATGGCTGTAGCTGATTGGTTGAAATAGTCTTGTTGCCAATTTGGCAATAGTTGATATTGGTCAGCCCTGGCCTGACGACTGCCAGCCTCTGGTGTCAATTCCATTGTAAATTTAATCTGAATTGGGCAAGATTTCATGGGTAATTTTTTTTGTACTTTTCCTTCAATTTTAGGCTGTTTTATTAGCCTTTCTTTGGCACAAAGTGGGAAGGTTCGATCTTAAATTTGCACGCTTGGATTTAAAAGTTTTGACTTTCTGTTAAAATGGATATCATTGTTCAAAGCCCTTGTACCATTTTAGTACTTTTCAAAACCTTTCATCAGATAGCGACATACATTTTAGGTTAAATCTTCTTAAAAAAGCACTTTAAAAAATCATCCATTACTAAGTGTAAACTTCACAATTATGCATTATGGAAACCACACATGGTTTTTATGGTTAAACAAAAGGGTAGTGAAATTACTCTTTTAGGAATTGATTTTTCTTAAGTATTTGCCATCTTGTTAAAAACAAATCTTTAGAGTACTGAAGTTTCAAGGATATTTCGTACTTAAGTATAAAGCTTACTTCCACTTGGTATACTATGATTGTAGCCAATTATGGTCATAGACATAGACTGCGCTTTCACCTCCCTTGAACAACACCAGCAGGGGTTTATTCATTAGTCAAAGTTTACCTATGATTAACCAATAAGCTCTGATTGGGCAAAGCTCCAAGTAACTTGTGTTACACTATACCAAAATATCAGATTGAGAAACGTTCTTAGAGTGGCTGTTCCTGATGACACAGTTGCTGCAGTTTAGAGGCAATTGTTGGTCCAAGTACGTGCTTTCATTGAATGTTAACATAAATTTCTTCAGCAGGGAATTATGGTTAGGGGAGTGCTTGATATATGTTCTGCATTTTACACAATAGAAGATAAGCAGAAGATCTAGAGTTTGGCAAATTACATATACTCTACAATATCCTTATTGTATATATCTCCTGGTATTGTCCGATGCATAATTCTCATACTAAAAAACAAGACAAAGTCTCTCAATATCATGATAATGGGAAACACCCCTTGTATATACAATGTTTTTCATAGGGTTGGGTGGGCCTGTAGGAGAGGGTGGGGCAGAGCAGACACCATGTCTATCCCTCTGCTTGACGCTGCCAAGTTTCGCTGCAAAGCAAGCAAGCATGTGCAACGTACGGCAGCTATCTGTGCAATTTACCAAGGAACATTTTGAACTGCAGTATTAGCATGAGGTGGCACATGTCATTGACTTTGTTGGCTGCGTGCCTGACATGTAATCCAGCCTGAGAAAAATATATTTGATAACAGTGAGAACTGTCTAATTTTATCATCACATTTTACCTCAGCCTCAATATTCCAAAAACTTCCAAAGGAATTGTCGAAATATCAAGTAAATTAAATTAGTTTCAATATTAATTATTTGACAAAGTTAGGAGGTGATTATTATTTTGCTTGTTTTGCTTCAATTATGTTTCGAATCATATCTTTATTACTGCAATATGCCCAATTAAGATTTGAATTATAAGCAAAAAGATGTACAAATATAATTGTGATATCAACACAGGTGTGATTATTAATGTAATTAGATTATGAAAATATTTGATACATGTTAAAACTGTTGCAAGGATATTAAATTAATTCTTTTTCAAATGTTTAGATACTCAAAAACATTTTATGATGATAAATTCAATAGAAGCTATTAAGCCATTGATTTTAATAGAAATAAGTAACATCACTTGAGAGGTGTCATGCTACAAATATTTTTATTTTTCATTTCATAGAAACATTTGTATCCAAAACTGAAAATGATTTTTTATGTTTGTTTATCTACATCAACCTTCTTGACACTCGACTCAGTCAAAGATCATGAGTGGAGGTATTTGAAGATCTGATTTTAGACGGATTGTCTTACTAGGTATTGTCTCGTCACATCCATGAATACCTGAGAGTCTAGACCATAGAAACAGGAAACCACATCTAGTCTAATCAAACATGGAAATAAGGTGTCTCTTCTCATCATTCTTTTATCCTGTCATCTTCCATGTCAACACTCTCCTCCAATTTCCATCCTAGTTTGAAAGTACAAACCCTTGTCAGTCTTAAAAACAAAGAAAGTTGAATAAGGTCTGAACTGTAAGACTATGAAGAGACCTCTGACCATAAGTCTTGGATTTGAGTTGTTCATGACACAGCCAAAGACTGACAAAGTGAAGCTGTGCTGATTTCTTTATTGAATTTTGTGTAAGCGCAAAGAAGGGTCTGTTTGTGAAGACTATGTTCTTCGCTGTGATGCATGAATTTCTGTCACATACTTCAAAAACCTATGAAGAAATTGATAAATATGACGGAAATGTTGAAATCAGGTTAAATTTTACTTCTGATGATTTCATTTCTTTCATGGCTTTGGTTTACACGGAGGCTGGTCCAACAAACAGGTGCTGCCAATTTGGAGCATCCCCCCCCCCCTCCTCCCGGTGATTACACAATGCCCTTCCGCCCCGCACGGAGCAGACCTCTTTACAATGCAATTCTCCTGTCCATAATTTGTTATTACCTCTTTTTGATATCCCGTCTTCCACAAACTTGGAAAAGTTACAAGATGATAATGGTCTGAGGGCAAAGATCATGGGATTTTTGTGTGTTTTCCCCTTCTGATCAGACTAAAAATATGATGGTTGTCATGGTTGTCCAGGAAGTTGCCCCTCTCTTTCTCTCTCTCATGCTCATTTCAAGTGTCATTGACCCAATTAACGCAATTTGAAGAAAAAATCATGATTTTGTGTCCACTTAATTGTAGTCTTAATAAATTCAATTTATATTATTAGTTTAACATTTTATACCTCTATCATGATATTTGAAGTCCTTCTCTAATCACATTAGATGTGTCCATGACTAATATTTGTAGTCCTAAAGTCTTATTTAACTTCTTAACCACTTATTTTATATCATTTAGAGAGGACACATTCATTTTTTGTTCGGGGGAGGGAGTGTTTCAAATATTTGTTTTAAAAATCTGATATTAAAGCGATTTTCATTGGAGCTCTAAATTTAATGACCTTGGAATGAATGCATGTGGTGAAAAAATAATGTATTCTCTCTAACCTTTAATATCAAAGGTTGAAATCTGCACATAGGGATGAAATCATTCTGTCATTTGCCATATATTGAGATTGGTTTGATTCAATTTGACAAGCATTGATATATTTGAACATGACTTTTATCGGGTAATTTATAATGTGGGTCAAGG